AGTACAGTTGTGTACAAGTGACTTTTAGTTATTAAGTCCAAATTATAATAATTTTACCCAAGCTGGAATCTCTAGGCACCTACTTATGTGGAAAACTCACTGAGTTTTTCAGTCTTTTGTTAGCTCAGGAGTCCCAGATCATGTCCACATTTGTAGATTAGTGGATATGAAAGGATTTTTCCTTTATTTAACTTAGTGACTTCTAGAAACCCCTGAACTTAGAAAACAACAAAAGAATTTAATAAAAAGTTAGCTCACCATTAAATCTCAATTCCAATATAAATGGAAGCACAGTCTTAATGGGTAACTAAAATCAATGAACCAAATGCCACTTTTTTTATGAAATTCAAATTCCCTTATTTTTGCCAGCTTTCAAAACTAAGATATTGTGTCAGGCCCTGGTGGCTCACTCTTGTAATTCTAGCTACCTGGGAGCCTGAAATCAGGAGGATTGTGGTTCAAGGCCAGCCAGGGCAAAGAGTTCATGAGCCTCTATCCCCAAAATGGACAGGAGATGTAACTTTGGCAGTAGAATGCCTGCTTTGTAAGTGAGAAGCTCTGAATTCAAATGCCAGTCACACTGAGAGAGAGAGAGAGAGAGAGAGAGAGAGAGAGAGAGAGAGAGAGAGAGAGAGAGAGAGAGAGAGAGAGAGAGAGAGAGAGAGAGAGAAAGAGAGAGAGAGAGAGAGAGAGAGAGAGAGAGAGAGAAGGAAAAAAGAAATTAGGAAAGAAAGAAATAAGAAAGATATTGTATTTGGCTTTTAGTTTTTTTTTCTATTGTAACCATTAGGCAAATTCAACAAAGGTTCAGTCAGAAAACTCTAATTGTGAATACCTAACATAGACATTTCAAAGGGTCCAAGTTTGTGAGTTCCTTACAAGGATGAGGAAGAAAGGACAATGCTAGAATCAAATAAAAATGAAAGAGGGAATGGGAAGTGCTGTAAGCCAAGGCTTTCTTGTTGGCCTTCTTTTCCAAATACAACTATGGATTTGAGATGTGATCACTTAAGGGTATATGGGGAAGTCTTTGAGTTAGAAGGTCTCCTGGTAGGGACTGTCAGGCCTGAAGATCTGCCTGTATTTTGGTTACTTTTGATGTTGGCATAGAGCAGGTCTTTAGGAAAACTGCATAATATGTAAAATGGAACATTCAGATTGGAAGCTCAGTAAAGGAAAGTGATGGAGGGGAGTAGGTAACAATCGGGATTGGGTTTTTTGACAATTAGTCACAGCTAGGCTCTACTAATTTATTCTTTCATCAATAACTTATCTAAAACAGATGTCAAATATTGTTTTAAATACTGTAGGGAATAAAAAAATAAATAAAGCAGGTTGTTTTTTTTCTTTCTTTCTTTTTGGTGGTACCAGGGTTGAATTCAGGACTTCATATTTTCTAGGCAGGTGCTCTACTACTTGAAACATTCTCCCAGTCCCTTTTTGTTTTAGTTATTTTTTGAATAGCAGCTTGCAGTTTTGGCTGGGGCCAGCCTTGGGTTGCAATCTTCCTATTTACACCTTCTGAGTAGTTAAGACTACAGACGTGAACCAGTGAATCTGATCCCAAAAAGCAGTCTTAAGCCTTATAGAAATTAAAATATTTTGAGATAATCCATGTATGTAAAAATTACAATAGAGAGTAAAGTATCAGAAATGTTTTAGAGGTGAATAAAAATACTGAAAAAGGTTTGGATGGAGAGTAACTTTGCCTGAAAAAAGAAAAGTATTGTAGAGTGAAGAGAAAAGTATGAGCAAAGGGGAGGATGTTTTCAGGAAATATATAGAGAAAGACAGTGTTATAGAGCACACGGTACATCAAGAGAAAAACTCCATTGCTAAAAAAGGGCTTTAAATACTCTGGGAGTATTGATTTAGAATGTTTTTCAGGCAGAGGGGAAATCAGTGAAGATTTGAGAACGTGGGGATAAAAATATTAAACAGTATTACAACCCGGCAGCAACTTGCTAAATGAATACAGTATGGAGAGAGTGAAGGTAGGGATTATGGTGATGATGTAATAATTGATAAAAGTGAATGATTATTCTAGTCATGTTGTGCAGGTCATGTCTATAAATCAATTTAATCACTAATGTACTTTTAAAAAGAATAGGATGGAATAAAAATACTTAATTGCACTTAGTAAGGTCAAGTATTATTTCATGAAACTTCTATTTCAGATTTTATTATGTCTGTTTTTTGTTGTTATGAATGGAGCTATCATGTAAAATATACCATACTTCTTACATATAGTCAAGGTATAATTTCTCATAAGAGAAATTATGTGAAGATGTTTTTTATTTTTTGGTAAAATCCAGCTTTCAAGGGGCTCTAGACAATAACCTAAGTGAAATTCGTTTTCTTTTTTCCTTCAGTGCTGAGAATGGAAACCCAAGGCCTTGAGCAGACTGAGCAGAGAAAAATTCTGCGAGCACATTTGGTGTGGGGAGATGCGTCTCTATTTGAAATAGCTACTGAGTGAGGTATCAATCATTTATTCTGCTATTGCTTTTAGGAACATGATAGTGAAGTTTCAACTTAATACCATAATTGTTAATTTCATATTTTTGACTCTCTTACATTTCTAAAAATGATCAACTGCCTTCAAATAGTGGTTCTCAATAGAGCATAATATTATTTCTTAGATGACATTTGCTAATGTCTAGAGCTATTTTCGGTTATAATTTGGGGGAGTGGGATATTACTGGCATTTAGTAGGAAGCTATACACTTTACAGAGAAGACCCTTACAACAAAGAATTCACCAGGCCAAAATATTAAGCAACCTTACTTAAGGTTAAGAAACCCTGCTCTGAGTGACTCAAAAACTGAGTGATTTGAAAGGAATGTAATTGTTTTTTAGTGGTTGTTTTTGGAGGGACTGGGGTTCAAACTCAAGGCCTTGTGCTTGCAAAGTAGGCACTCAGTACCCTACTGCTTGAGCCATACCTCCAGGAGCATCATTCTTCACAGCAGTTGACAGATTCATACTACTTGCCAACACAAACTCAGTGACATTGTTTGTAGAATGCTTTGATCACCAACTTTATTATATTTGAAATGATATGTCAATATTTTCTTACATATGACCCAAAATAAAATGCTACACAAAACAGCTTAGAAATACATAGTTTATGACTCTATGATTATTTCCTGAATCTTAGCAATAAAAATCAAAATTATATTTTACCACCACAATACAGAGTAATTTATATGACTGTATTTCAGAGAATTGGCAGCCAGCTGCCTAAGAAAATCACTTAAAATTATTATACTAAGAATTTCCAGATTTAAAACTGATTCAATAGCACTCACAGGAATTCCTGGATCTGATTCAATAAATATAGGTAATCATAAAGATACTTTGGAAGGAAATGGTCATGTGAAAATTGGTATCCAGGGATGCAAACCACCAATAGTTTCAGTTTTCTTTTGTCACTATTATTTTACTTTTAGGATCATTAATAGTACAAGGGAGTTTCATTGTGAAAATTTCATGGATGCATATTGTGTCCTTTGAACAAGTTCCCTCCTTCCATTATATTCCCTAACACCCTTCTACATTGCCCCCTTTTCAGACAATATTGGGTGGGTTTCATTATGCTATCTTCACACATACACATGTAGTACACTTTGAACCTCTATACAATATGTATAATCTTTTCTAAACTTTAAATTCTATCAGTCTAAATTATGGATCAATTTTTGACAAGCAGATTATAAGTCTTTTTTAGATTGTTTTAGGATTATTTCCATGCCTTCTCAATAGCACATGGGAAATTATTACAAACTGATTTCAACGTTCCAGTGACTATATGTGACTCTGCAGCCTGCCAACCCTAAGGCGTCACAGGCACTGCCAAGCAAAGTGACATTCCCACAGTCTTCACTTAATTGTATGGAATACAGAAGGCTAATTGTCCTAATGCCTTCATGTGATGCTTTACTTTGGGAGTATGTTTTTTTAGATTACTTTGTCCATGCATTCTAAGTGGGAAATGTTCAAAATTTATCTTTATTGAAAGCAAATGAGCCCTTGCCCTTTTGAAGACACTAGAGTTCCATAAATGCTATAGTCAAACCATAAGCCTTAGGAGACAATTGGTGATATAAATAAAAGGGAATTAAAATTTCATTTTCATGGAGAAAAGGAATGGTCTTTGATTCTCCTAGGTGTATTCTCAATTTTTTCAGGCATGTAACTTTAAAATAACAATGGGCAAAATCTCCCCCCGGTGACCAAAATATGTAAGTGCACCTTTGAGATGTCAAATTCTTATACCCTTGTTCTTGCATTTGCCATCACCTTCTGCAAAACTTTCATAACAAAATACATTTTGATTAGGCAATTACTAAGTATATCATTCATTACTCAGGTTTTCTCTGAGCATATCTGTATAATAAGGATTTCTGTGTGTTTTAAAATTGAGGGTTAAGTAGAGAGTTTTCAAAACCTCTTTTAAGTAAAGGTCTTTGCCTTAATTTCCCACTAGACTTTTTTTTCTTTCCTTTTATAAAAGTCCTTCAAATGCATTTAGAAGTAAAAAATTTATTTTTTTGCAGTAGAAAAATTCTGGAAATTCCGGAAGAGAAGGAAAATGAAAAAAAGATTATTTGTGAGTGCTGGAGAAATTGGTAGAGAATTATATAAGAGTTTTCTGAACTCTGAGAGCACGAAAAGGTTCTCACTTAGGAGAATACCACTGATAAATGCATTCTGAAAACTTTTATGGGTTATCTTCAAGATCTGAATTTCATCAATTTATTTGATTTAATGAACTATCTCTGCTCTATTTTTCAAACCAGGATAAAATGAAATAACTTTACAAATAAAAATCTCTTATAAATTGGCTATGGATTATTGATTGACTAAAGTGAGTCTAAAATAAACTATGTTATGTGTTTCATGTTGTGAAAGCCAGTCATCTAACCTTACTTCATTGTACTAATGTCCATTGGATGTCTGGATTCTCTTATAGCTCTTTTTGTTTAATTTTTAGTGAGTTAGAGGCCTGTTTTTGTAGCAATCCAGTGTCGGTAATAAGTCACTTGTGTGTAGACTCCAGGTTTGTTTCTTTGGCCACAGTTATCTCCCCAGCTCACAATTCCAATGAGATACCAAGTATCTTTAAGATCTTTCACAACTAATGGGCCCCCAGAATCACCCTGAAAATAAAAAGAGAAAGGAAAGAGAAAGCAAATTAGGAAAACATAAAGTTTATTTTTAAAGATATTTTGAGGAACCATCTATTTTGTTAATAGACACTGTGTGTATAGATTTCCAATACAGAATAATTAAATGAAAGACAACTTCAAAATAATTAACATTAAGGTAAATTTCCTCATTTTATATTAAATTTTGTTAGAGTGTTGTTTAATAATTTTTCAGTAGATGTGATACTGATTAGATCAGATTAAAAATTCAGGTTGGGAATGGTGGTGCACATCTGTTATCCCAGCTTCTTGAGAAACTGAGATAGGTGGTTAGGAGGAATGTGGTCTGAAGCCAGCCATGGCAAAAACTATTTGACACAAACCAAAGGAAAGGGGCTGTGGGTATGGCTCGAGTGGTAGAGTACCTGCCTATCAAGTCCAAAGCCTTGAGTTCAAACCCTAGTACTTCCCCCACACACCCAAAAAACCCCAAAACCTCAGGCTTGTGATCTTTTTATTTTCTGTAGCTTGAAAGTTGAAGACTTTTAAGAGAAAATTCTCAAAATGAAAATTAACTGAAGATATGATATAATGGATGCATTAAATAAAACCAGCAACATTCAATGCTATAAGAGATGTATAGCAATACGAGGGGTATGGAAACAGAAGTATAATTATTCAAAAACCCTTATAAAGCACTAAAAACACACTGTGCTACAGGTAGGAGAGAAGGTGGTCATATTACCACAAACATCCTGAGAGGATTCTCATTGTTTCTCAAACTTCATTGTGAATAAAAATCATGTGAGCAGTTTCTTAGATGCAGATTTCTGATGCCCACCTTTAAAGATTGTGTTGGTCTTAGTGAGACCTGGGGTTTGCACTTTGCCAGATCCCCACCTGGTTGTGCTGCAGGTCATCTGCAGAACACCTTTAAGCGGTGAGTTCACATATATTGTGCTTCAAATGGGATTACTCTGCCTTTTCTTTCTCTCTTTTCACTAGTTCTCATTTTCTCTTAATTAAGTAATCAGTCACTCAAGAAAAACTCAAAGAGCAAGGAACACCCAAGGTCCTTATTACTGGTTGGAAGAGGCAGGGCACAAAGACAAGAAACTGCTATGTTGCTATAGAAAACTGTGAGTGTCAAAAGAGGGTCCAACACAATTTCTCCAGTTACTCAATGTAGAAATTTATTTTAGTTTAAATTCTTTTAGCCAGAAATTTAAATTTCATGCTTTGCTCCTCTTACTTGCTCCAACCATATCAAAGCATCCCTTCATTTGTCAGTTTTACTTCCTAACTGCTCTATCTACCTCTGTCTCCACACTGGCTTCATTGTCCACATGACCACACTGCACCTGGAGTTTTGCAATACTTACTAATTGAGCCACTATGATGGTCTCAACATTTTCTCCCTCCTTTGACCTGAATGATTTTTCACAATGTCAAGTTTGATTGAACTACCCATTGAACAAAATCTAATAATAATCACTATAATCCAGGTAGTGTTTTGAGATGTATGATCTTTTTCTTCCAAGAATTTTTAAGTGTCTTCCTTCATTATAATACATTTTTTGATTAAGTCTTATCTGTGTACCAGCCACTTGGTCCCCTGAAAGCTGGTTTCATGCAGGCTCTTGCTGACAGTTGTATCTCTAGTAGCTGGCAGGGTGCATGCATACATACATAGTGGAGCGCTTAAGCCTTTCTGATTAAATAAATGAAGAGACTTAAAATTAATACACATTGACCAGGGAAAACTTGTCCTGAATTTTTCTACAGGCTACATTCTTGACTACCTAAATTTCAATATGAGTCTACCAGAAAAATGTTGCCCAAACCTACCTATTGGTTTCTGGAATGATTTTGAATGCCCTCTTGAGAGAGCTCTCTGGCCAGTGCCTGTCTGGTGGTTACAACTAGGGATCTTTCTTTTGGTAAACTCTTGACTGAACTTCATTTCTGACTTTCATATCAGCAATTTTGATTCCTTTGTCATTTATGTTTGGTCTTTCCTAACTAGATTTCCAGTGGAGAAATTAAAGTCTTACTTTCTCTCTCTTCTTATCTTCTATGTAAGGGAGGGGTGTTATCAAGTCTAGATCAATATTTAGTAAATTTGTGAAAGCCAGGTTGATGTGGGTGGTTGATGTGGTTTTGTCACCACATACCCCAGTTACAATCATTGTATTCCTGTATTGGTTTCTTGTTCCTGACTCACTCCCTGATAACTTCCTCCATTTTTCTATGAGTAGAACTTTGTTTTAGTATGTATTTGCACGGTTATGTATGAATCTTACCTCTGCTCCCCAGTCCAATGTAGACTCTTTATGATCACCAGTCTTTCCCCAGGCTTATCACTGATTTCACTGAATCACAATATCCTGTCTGCTTTCAGCTTCTGATGCTTTTTTTCACTTGCTTCCCATGGCACAGACCTCTTGCTGGAGTCCCTGAATTCTGGTTATCTCCCTCCACATTCTTGTCAACTGAAGTTGCATGTGTATCAGGTTTGGCTCTTGTCCAGACTATATGATAAAAATGTGCTGCACCTTCCCTAACAAAGGTTTTTAGGACTCTGGGAAGGGCTTTCTGCCACCTATCAATACCATTCCCATCACTTCACCACAGTGAGCTTTCCAAATTCCTTAGTTTTCAAGAATCTAATGTTAAAAAAGCAGTTCCTCTGGGAAGAAACACACTTACTCATATCTTTGTCATGTGCTGGGTAGATTTTGGAGGACAGAGGAAAACACTGGGAAGAACTCCAGGATTCTTACTGCATGGCTTAATCTCACCTCTTGTGCTCCTTGTGCTGAGACTCAGTAGATTGCTTGGGGTTCTCTCAAGTATGAATTGTAACTTCACACCTTCACAATTTTGACTATAAATGCTTTTTCTCTTTTTCATAATATTCTTTCCTCATTCTGTAATTGGGTAAATGCTATTTATTCTTCAGTCCTCATTGAGATATCATTTCTCTGATACTTGTTCCAAAAATGTTTTCTTCAAGGAAAAGAAATTGCTCTCCATTATGTTATTTATAGTATCACATCACAGTTCATCAGACAGGATTGTTTCCTCTTTAGTATGTGAGCACTTTGAGAAAAGGGACTCTTCTTTGTTAATTTTGGGGTTTCTCCTTATTAAGAAATTTAAATTTTGTGCTTAGTTTGATTGAATAAAAGAAAAATCTTTGTTTATTTCATATTACTTACTTTTAATATACATTAAAAATATGTATGTGTTATGAAATTTCCAGTTAGAACTTTTTGGACCTGACATGACATATGTATTTTGTTCTAACATAAAGAATAAAGACTATTTCCAGGGACATATAAAGTTAGGTTTATTTGGATGAGTTAGGTTATTTGGATTCTTTTTTCTCCAACCTACCCTGCAGGCATCATAAATTCCTTCCAGATATCCAGCACAAAACATTCCAAATTTTATGTCATTGCCATACACATGTGGTTGCTTGCACACGTCATTACTTATGATCTTCACGCTGGCTTCTCGAAGATTATTTTGAGATTCCCCTTAGAAAAAATAAAGTAGTTTTAATTTTTGCAATCAGCATCCTTAGCTAGAACAAACTGAGCAGACTTTTTCTTATCTTCTTCATTCTAAAGTTGTCAATACAGGATAAAGTTAATACAAGCAGTGCTACAGAAGAAAATAGTGACTAAAATCTGGTGCATATAATGATCCTTATTGTGTGTTAGATTTTATAAATACTTATACAAGCAAGAAAACTATTTTCTTTCTTGTCTTTTTTTGGGGGCCTGTACTGGAGTTTGAACACAGGGTCTGCACTTCCTAAGCATGTGCCCTATCACTTGAGTGACTCTTCCATTCACCATTTGCTTTCTTTTCTGGAAAATCTTTATACCTTTACTTTAAAAAGAACCAGTTATATTTTTAAAGAAGGCATTCCATTTTGAAGTTTTCATTTGTGGATTCCAAATTGTTCCCAGAAACTTTTTATACATACATAGCCTTCTCTCTTGGCTTGATAAAATATCTGTCCTACTTTGTACATTTACATTTTATAAATAACTTTCACATACATGGCATTAAATGACAATGACTTGATCTGTTATATAATTTGCGGGCTCCAGAACATAGCTAGATCCTGAAGTAACTATTATGGCAGGTGGCTTCAGTGAAAAATGAAGAATAGCACAAGCATTCTGAGATTTTTATGCCAAACCATATACTGGTCAGGAAACCATGATATTGTGGTTGGCAAAATTCTAAGATGATTCCTAAGATTCCTGTGTGATTCCTCTCCCCTAAGCATGATGGGAATCTGTAAATGTGATGGCTATCAATTTCATGGTTAGGTTCATGTTATATGGCAAAGATGCAGGAATCTTGCAGGTACAATAAGATCCTTAACCAGATTCATTTTGCGTTAACCAAGAAAGGAGATTATCCAAGGTGTGCATAATCACATCAGGTAAGGCTTTTCAAAAGTGTTTAAAACTTCCCTGAGAGTTCAGAGACACTTTCCTAGTAACATGAGGAAACAAGTTGCCATGAGTTCTACAGCTGCAAGAAATTTGTGCCAACTGTCAGCTCAGAAAAGAGTCTTGAGCCTATACCCTTATTGCAGTTTCATGAGACTCTGAGGACCCAACTAAACTATGTCTGAACTTCTGATCCACAAAAACTGATGTAATAATATGTTTGAAGCTGTCAAGTTTATGGTAATTTGTTACACAGCCTTAGAAAATGAATACAGGCACTGTTTTAAGATTTTCAAGAGGGTCATTAAAAATTTATTTCTGGAGAGGTTTTTGCAAATATCTTTTAAAACTTCTTTAGAAAATATAAGTGCAAAACATATGCCAAAATATTTTTTAAGTTATTCTGCCCTTTGAATACATTTTAGCCTCTTCTAAAGCAAATTTCACCACATACTCTAAGAATTCGTGGACCGTTGTTGGCCACGTTTTCCACTATGTGGAGCTAGAATTCCTCCAAATGAAGTCAACTTGGGGAAAACAGGAAATAAAAACATTCATAGATTCAGAGCTCAATATCATCATATAAACTCCTGATTCTAGGTGTGTCTGAAGTCGAACTTCTCACACCTATTGATTTACAAGTTATAAGGGACAAATTTACAGGGGTTTGTATCTTTGTATTTGCTTTGACTAATTTGAGTTGAATTTCTGTTACAAGCAAAATAAGAGCCCTAACTAATCCAAACAAGCTGTGTAGAAATGGCTGGTGGGATAATATTGATGGAGATCAGATTACACTGTTAAGCAGACCTTACTACTTGTTAGCTTTTCTGAGATACCTACCACCATAGTAAAGAGCTCCAAATCCTGTGATGTATACTGTTGAATTTGGTTGGACTGATGCAGAAGCTTCTGGCAAACAAATTCGGCGTATGTCATCTGAGAAGGTGACTGCAGGAGAGAACTGCACAACAGCAATGTCGTACTCTCTTGCTGGGGAGCGATATCTCTCATGGACTATAATTCTTTTGACGTCTCTTTTCATTAAGGGAGGATTTATTGTAGTTCCAAAACTACAGTCCATTGACGTGGATTTGCATTACTGGTAAAGGTTAGAAATTAACAGAATATATGAGTTGCATAGAATATATGAACTATATTAATTGCATTTAGGCTAATAAAAGAGAAAATGCCATCCTGAGAATATTTGTTTACAATTACAGATTTCTGTGTAAACAGACTAGCATAGTTTATTGCTAGCATTTTAAAGAATAAAATATAAACAAATAATATATTAAAGCTGAAATTCAAACCAATTTTTAAATTTTAGAACTGTAAGTGACATTCAATATTATCATTTATCCCTTCACCAAATACTTATTGCACATCTGTGTGCTGAATGTTATCAAAATGCTGGGGATAAAGAGGTAAACAAGACATAAATTTCTAGGCCACAAAAGTAGATTTAAGAGACAGAGAAAAATCAAAACAAATAGAGTAGGTAACTTCAGTGATAAAGGTTATAAATGAAACAAAAAAAAGCATAATGCAGAGAGTACAAAGGAATAGGGAAGGTTTTTTTTTGGAGAACACATTTAGGCTAAGACATGGTTGATGAGGAGGAATCAGCTATACGAAAATCAAGGAGACACGTGTCCAGGTAAATACCCCAAGGCTTTGGACCAGATGGGACTCAATTTAAGATGCAAGGGGAAAAATGGGAGGGTGTGGGGATGATGTTGGAGAGGTAGAAAGGGATCTGAGTGTCTTACAGGACACAATAAAGTGATTAGATTTTATTCAAGTGATATGGGAATCCACTGAGTGTTTTTAAGCCGGAAGTTAACACAGCCATTTTAACATTTTCAAAATGTCATGTCAGTATTTTCTGGAGTCTAGATTGTTGAAGGTCAAGAGTGGAAGTGATAAAAGCTGTCAGAGGATGACCGTAGTAGTCCTGTGAGAAATGATATAGTATGGTTGACTTCTAGGCTATGGGCTTGAGCAACTGGTGAATCATGGTACACACATAAATTAGAAAGATCAGTTAGTAACTAGGAAAGATCATCTAGTAAAACCTCTGTTTTATAATAATGAGAGATGAAGCATTTGCCTGGTATCACATGTCTTCCTACCTCACTCTGCTCTTTTCTCTATAGGATACTGTCTGCCACCAAAACCTATCAATCTCAAGATTGATGTTCCTTAACTAATTAATTAACTAGCATCATCCATGAGGGCTAAGCAGAGAAAAATATTGCCCACACAGATACTTCTTTGTCAATCACTTATTTCTTGCTGTCAGAGTGGCTTAAGTGGTAGAGCACCTGCATAGCAAGTGTGAGGCCCTGAGTTCAAACCTCAATACCACCAAAAAAAAATTGTTTTTTAATAGTTAACATCAGCCTAGAAGGAGAATATAAAAATATCATTTGGAGTTTGTCCAATTTTGTAATATTTAACTGCAATTAAATAACCTTTTAGTATTTTAAACTTTTGTTTTCCCGCAACATTTTGATATGCAAAAATACTCTAATTAGAAAAGATAAGTAAAGCTTGGTTTATGAAAACAGTTGATTATAAATTAGTTTTTGTGAGTTTTGTTGGTACCAAGATGTTCCCAAAACTTAATCATGACTAGATGAATTTAACATATATTAAGTTTTTTGAACTTGGAAATATAAAGGTCAGACCTTGAACTGTATTTATTTAAGTGGGAATGATCATTCTAGAACTTTTAACAATGGCCTGATGTAATTTAATATAGCTTGCATTTTATTATATTTGTAGATAGTAAGCCTGAAAAAGTACCTAATATGAGCAATACTAAATTGAAGTTAAGAATAAGTTTTCTAGAGCACTAAGACAGGAAAAAGAAGTAAAGGGAATACAAATAGGAAAGTAAGAAGTCAAATTCTCCCTATTTGCAGATGACATGATCTTATACCTAAAAAACCCGAAAAACTCCACCAAAAAAAACCTTCTAGAAATCATAAATACTTCGCAGAATAGCAGGATACAACAAAATCAACTTAGAAAAATCAGTAGCTTTTCTATTCACCAACAATGAACAGACTGAGAAAGAATATAGGAAAATAATTCTATTTACAATAGTTTAAAAAAAAAAACTACCTAGGAATAAACTTAACAAGGGATGTGAAAGACTCTACAGTGAAAACTATAAACCATCAAAGAAAGAAATCAAAGAAGACTACAGAAGATAGATCTCCCGTGCTCATGGATTGGTAGAACAAACATAGTGAAAATGGATATACTACCAAAAGCAATCTATATGTTCAATGCAATTCCCATCAAAATCCCAATGACATTCATCACAGAGATTGAAAAATCAACCCTAAATTTCCACGAATAGCTAAGGAAATACTGACCGAAAAGAACAATGCTAGAGGTGTCACAATAATAACTGCATACTATACCTCAGGGACATAGCAATAAAAATGGCATGGTACTGGCAGAAAAACAGACATGAAAACCAGTGGAACAGAATAGAAGACCACATGTGAAGCTATGCAGCTATGCCCACCTGATTTTTGACAAAAGTGCCCAAAACATATGATGGAGAAAAGGCAGCCTCTTCAGCAAATGTTGCTGGAAAAACTGGATGTCTGCCTACAGGAAACTGAAACTAGATTCATGTTTGTCACTATATACAAGTATCAAGTCAAAGTGGACTCAGGACCTTAATATAAGACCCGAAACTTTAAAGTTAGTGTAGTAAAGAGTAGGGAACACACTATAATTAATAGGCATAGGCGATGACTTCCTAAATAGAACTCAAATGATTCAGTAACAAAGAGAAAAGATTGTCTAATGGAACTATATGAAATTAAAAAGCTTCTGCATGGCAAAAGAAATGGTCTACAAATTAAAGAGGCCACCCACAGAACAAGAGAAAATCTTAGCCAGCTATACATCTGACAAGGGATTAATAACCAGGATATACAGGGAGCTCCAAAAACTGAACTCTCCAAATATTAATGACCCAATAAAGAAATGGGCAAATGAACTGAACAGTGCTTTTTCAAAAGAAGTCCAAATGGCCAAAAAAACACATGAAGAAATGCTCACCATCCCAGGGCATAAAAGAAATGCAAATCAAAACCACATTAAGATTCTTCCTCACTCCTATTAGAATGGCTACCATCAAGAACACAAATGACAACAAATGTTGGCAAGAATATGGGGAAAAAGGAACCCTCATACACTGTTGCTAGGAATGAAAATTAGTACAATCACTATGGAAAACAACATACAGGCACTTCAAAAAACTAAAAATAGAACTGCCTATGATCCAGTAATACCACTCCTAGGGTTGTACCTGAAGGGATGTGAGTCAGCTTACAACAAAGCCACCTGAACATCCATGTTTATGGCAGCTTCATTTACAGTAGCTAAGCTAGGGAAACAACAAAGATGTCCCACTACTGATGGGGATTAAGAAAATGTGGTATTTATACACAATGGCATTTTACTCGGCCATGAAGAAGAATGAAATTTTGTAATTTGCAGGTAAATGGATGGACCTGGAGAACATCATCTTAATTGAAGTTAGCCATGTTCAGAAAGCTGAAGGCCACATGTTTTCTCTCATATGTGGAATAAAGACATAATACAACTACAAGAATATTATGAAAAACAGGTTATGCTAAGGGGAGGTCATCTATGAGAGAGGGACAGCAAAAAAAGGAAGTTGAAAGTGAATATGGTTGATGTATTTCCTATACAAGAATGAATAAAAAATTTTCAATCTGTTGATATCACCATAAGAAAGGGACAAAGGTAGGAAGGAGAAAAATAGAAGAGATAAACCATTTTGGGTCATAACACATATATACATGGAAATGTCACAAGGAAATTCCCTGTATAGCTATCTTAAACAAACAACATCATTTTGTTTTCAAAAATGGAGACAGGAGGGCAGAACAGATCGTTTCTGGGATGCTAGTACCAGCAAGGGGGTGGGGAAGGATGTGGGGGAAATGGTGTAGGAGGATGAATATGGTACCAATATTGTGTACACATGTATGTAAATGGAAAAAAAGACACCTGTTGAAACTATTATCGGAATCTGGGGAGAGGTATAAATGAGAATGATGGAGGGGATAAATTCAGCTATGATATATTGTAAGAAGTTTTGCAAATGTTACAATATACCCCCAGCACAACAATAATAAAAAAGAATAAGCTTTCTCAATTTTTAACCTAGGCCCAAATCAGTAAGATAAAAATTAATGGAGATAAACATAAAAACATAGGAATTTAGATCCCAAAGAGAATTTTAAAAACTCAGAGAGGGAACACTTCATTTAGAAGCGATCACTAAAAAAAGGATTTGGAAGTTTTGTTGATTATTATTTTTAAAATAACCAACCACATGATGAGTTTTCTTAACTCAATATTGGACTATAATAATATGAAAACATAATCTCAGGATCAAAAAGGTCCTAAGAAATGGGTTAGTCTTCTTACTGTCCAGAGTTTGAAAAGTGAGTTTAAGCATCAGGAAATTATACATTCATTTTCCATTCCATCATCTTCAAACATTATGTGACTGTGGGCAAGTTTCTTAATTTTGTTTTTCCTCCTCAGTGACAAAGGTCTTAACAGCAGGGCTTACTTACACAGTGGGTGCAAGAATTATATGAAACAAATCTTAAGCACCTAACTAAATATCTGTTCCATAGTGGAGCTGAATTGTTGGTTCTGGTTGTTATAAAAAACACTCTCAAGTGATTGTTTGTGCCTGAGCTCTTCTGCAGATGGAGGCTTGTTCCTTGCCTTGGAATTCCTTTTATCTTTGAGCAGCTATGCCTGTTGGCGAGTTCTTTCTTGATTCCTTAATTCCCTTCCACATGACAGTATTTCAGATCTATATTAATCCAGCTATATCATCTGTACCAGAGATTTCTCAAGATAATTTTTTTTATCTCCTAGGACAATGCTTAATTAGGGGATCATATTAAAATGTGGCTTCTGATCTGCAGATCTGGGATAGGGCTTAATTTTTTCTTCATTTCTGTTAAATTCCTTAGTGCTGGGAGGGCTGCTGGTCTGTGACCCAAACTTTGAATGGCAATGGCAAGGCTGTATAGGTCTAACATCTCTTTTCTTTACCATCCAAGACTCTGCAAGAGCAGATGATGTATGCCTTAACCTATGTTGCCCAGCACAGAGTTTACTATCCTAGGTAGGATCTGACCAACAAATTGTCTAATGTCTTATAGATTATGACTCTAATTCTTTTTTTTGGCAGTACTGGAGTTTGAACCCAGGGCTTTGTGCTTGTCAGGGGGGTGCTATGTTACTGGACCCCCCACCATCGTAATTTTTGCTTTAGTTATTTTTCTGGTAGGATCTTGTCTTTTTGTCTGGACTAGCCTGGAATGTGAACCTCCTACTTACGCCTCTTCTACAGCTGATCTCACCCACCTCCTTTTGTTGAGATGAGGTCTAACAAACATTTTGCCTTAACTAGCGTTTACCATGATTCTCTTGATCTCTGTCTCCTGAATAATTGGGATTACAAGGCATAAGTCACTGTGCATGGCTGGACTCTGATTTGTTTATTTGTGCTTTTGGCAATACTCTGGGGTTTGAACTCAAGACTCTATACTTTGTAGGCAAGTGCTATACTACTTGAGCCATACCTCCAGCCCTTATTTATTTATTTTTGATGGTACTGGAATTTGAACTCAGTGCCCTTGTGCTTGCTACGTAAGCATTCTACTACTGGAACCACACTTCCAGCCCTGGAACCTGATTTGTTTTAAGATGTAATTTTGGAGACAATTCATTTTAAGTGAGCTATCTTCTGACAAAAATTTCTAAATAATTTTCACATGTCAAAGCACATTTTTTCTTGCTTTACTGACACACTTTTCCTATGATCCAAGTTAGGGCCTTATGTTTATACTTGCTAAAATTAATCATTTAGCTCTCACTCATAACTCTAATATAATTAAGGACCTTTTAAAATTTGTCTTTTTCCTTATCTAACATATTAATTTCCCTTCCAGCTTTATGTAATCAGGTAATTTAATGAGCATGATTTCCATATCATCTACCAATTCTAGAAAATATACTCTCTAGAGCAAAGGGAGGTTAAATATCTTTGGTAAGTCATAAAGTATTTAATATTTCAACAGACATTCTCCCAGAAGGTTCTTATTTTACTTTGTCATATATGACATTATTCATACTGTGTTTAGTTCTTGGAAGCATATTTTAATGGAGACACTGACAAAAGCTAAACATTTAGAGAAGAAGAGCCAATATTATAGAGCATCTAGATGTTGGTGCTGTGAATATAAAGCAATGATATTTATTTTCTTTTATATTTAGAGAATCGCATTCATTTTGTTTGGACTAAGAAAGAGAATCTAAGAAATAGCTAAAAAAATAAATGAAGAAATAAATTTGATCCCTGTTGTTTCAGATGAAATGATAAACATTGACATGGAAGTTATTAGAGTACAGATTTGGGGTTTAATGTTATAAAGGTATTTGCAAAAAGAGAATTGTCAATCACAGAACTGACTAATTTTGTCAAAGCAAGTGTCCCATTACTCAGGTTTTCAGTTACAAACTAGGCAACCACATAAGGGATTTCTGGCTTTCTAATTTCAGCCTTTTGAGCTTTCATGACAATGTAGTCAAAAGAATATTAAGAGTTGTTATATAGCTATGTAGTCCAAATAGATGGAATTTATTATGGTACAAAAGGCAAAGTTTTATGGGTGAAACTTAGTGTGAGATGATCATCTCATTCCTTATTCTCTAATATACTAAGGTTCAATAACTTGCACAAGGTCATAGACACTTGACCCATTTCTCCAAACTGGTGAGGGCATGTTTTGTCTAAAATTTTACTGAGATACTCAGGAAGCCTTGCTATTCTCATAATAATTGGTATTGGAAAAAGTCCATAATGTCAGTCTACTTAGAAATTCAAAAATTTAAATGCAACAGTGATAAAAAGATTTAATTTCTTGTTATCTTGAAAAGTAAAAAAATATTCTTTAAGCAGTCATTTTATCTTATATTTAATAAAATTTATGCGTGCAGCAATGAGTAAAGAATTAATCAGGTGTTAACTGTTCATTAGATAAAGATTAACTAATAGAATAATATACTAGTCTTCACCTCAGGTTTGTCTTTTATAGCACTGTTGTCAATAGATTCTCTAATACATAAGATTTCTTTGAGCAGTCCAAGAACCTCTCTTAATTCTTTAATAGTCAAAGGAACTTACCTGTTCTTACATACTGGTAATTTCTCATTTTAGTTGTAAACTGCTATAATTTCCCCAGATTCTCATATGCCAGTGCTATAAATTTGATTTGAGCAGTTCTCCATTGTCACAGGTACCAACTTCCCGTATCCATTAAAAATTTCAGTTTCACTTTGCAATTAATTCGATTACTTATCAACAGTATGAGACTGGCCCAGGTATTCGGTAGAAAGAGATGTCAGTATTAAGCAGAGAACACTGTTAGACACAGGACTGCTTTTGTGTGCTATTTGTAAACATTTTGTGTTAGAAGGATTTCTACTTTCTTCTAATTTCTTTATTTAAAATTCCAAGGACTTGATTAAAGAATACTAGGATAATGATTACCATTCCATTTATTTCTACCAAATGTTCCAAATAAGTATGCAAGTAAGAGCATTATTTTAGAAAAGAATCTGAAAGATTTTCTTATTTTACTTCGGTAATATTTAGGACATTAGTGGATACCTAAAATATGATAAAACATGACTTTTTTTTTTTTAAATCAGTAGTAGGGTCTGACTTAAAGTCAGTAACTTACTTTTTAAAGCAGTGTGCTGCAGTGACAAGCCACACATTACTAATCAAGGTGGCCCCACACTGATGGATGTTGCTGCGCTGAAGGGAAGCTTGCCAAGGCCAGGCACCCTTGACAGCAAGTTCTCCAGACATTATTCTGTTGACCACTAATGGGGCAACTCGTTTACCACAACCTGAAAGAGATGAGATCATTAAGTTATAAGAATATCTAATTTTTGATACAAAGAACCTTGTAGAGTATGTAATGCAATAGTTAGGATCAAACAAAAGGTCTCACGTACTAGGCAAGAACTCTACTGCGGAGCTAAATCCTCAACCCTAGAACATGACATTAATCTTAGAGTTAGAAAAAAAGTCTACATCTATTGCCTAATTGGCATTCTTTCCCAAAGAAAATGTAGGACACAGATGGAAAATTATGAGCTAATATTTAAAGATGTCTTTGTTGGTGTGGAAAAATTGAATTTGTTTATAGAAGCTAACTAGACTTACATGCTTGCACAGTAAGCTTCCCTGTTGATGAGCTCATTGCTGAAAAACAAAATAGAACAAAGAATGATAATTTGATATTCTCCTAGTTGGTCTCAATGACCAGGGATTAGCAAGTATATTAATCTTATAAGGATTCTAGACAGCTGAGAAGATATATCGGTAAGGAGAATAGTTCTGTGATATAATAACATACATGTCCATTTTTGTAGAGATTTATAGGTAACCTCTAGTTACTTGGGTAATTTCTCATGCATTGTGTAAGACAAAATAGTGGGTGAATAAAAGCCATAGTTTATTTTAATACAGACTGTGGCTTTCCAACAGTGCAAGGTAAAATCTTTTTAGATTCTATCTTAAAAGTGTCAAAGAAGGAGCAAGTAGATGGGTCCCTGGGCTCAAACCTGCCCCAATCAGGGTAGGTCTGTTTTTGTCTCTTTTGTTTACTTAAGATTTCACATAAGGCTTTTTTTTCCAAATGGTTTAGGAAATGATGAAAAAAACTTTGAAGATAAATTATTTTTATTATGTCTAAACCATAGACCTTGAATGGCCAAATGCTTTTTTTTTTTTTGAAGAAAAACCATTGTGTATTCTTATCCAACATCTGCTGAATATTGTTTATTGGTCATAGTTTAAAGTTAAATTCTCTCAATTTCCAGCAAAGTTTGGAATCTGATGAAGGAAATTCAAGCACATATAAATATGTAAAAAATCATGTTCTACACAGTAAATACAAACATTTTATTGATCATTACACTTGAATAAAAGTGGGAAATAAATTGGTGGATTATTGCATGGAAACTAGGTTGAATTTCAGGGCCGGTGGTGGGGCTCAAGTGGTAAGAGTACCTGTATAGCTAGTGTGAGGCCCTGAGTTCAAATCCCAGTAGTAAAAAGCAAAAAAAAAAAAAGACTGTCCCCCAGTGACTGTTTTTTCCTGTCCTCTGGAGGACAGTTGATTTCCTTATCTCCCTTGGACCTCTGGGGCAAGTAGCCATTTGCTAACTTTCCTTGTTCTCTAGGGAAATAATGGTTTTTGTATTATAATAACCAACTACAGAATTAACTATTCCTGGAAAAGGAACTAAAAAGACATGAGTCATGTGACTTTCCAATTAAGAAATTTTCATTAGATTTACAGAATCCAGAACATCTAGTGACCTATAGATAATAGAAAAGCAGACTGCCTGGAATTTGTAAGGAGCTTAGTAACTACCTCATTTAATATGCCTCCCACTACTCCCTCTATAAGCCTTGTGCCTACAACCCTAAAAGAAGATGGTTTTTGTTGGTGATAGCCTCCACCTTCTTTGGTTGGCTAGTTTCCCCAAATAAATCTTTTTCCTTGTTCCAACAGTTTGTCCTCAAGTCATTGGTCATTTTAAGTGGCCAGCAATGAAAGAATATTCATGATTATATAATATTAAAATTCTGCAGTTAAAACTTCATCAACTTAAAAGAAAAAACTTCAATGGTTGCAAGTTAATTGGATTTTTAAGAACTGAATTTTTTAGGGAGAGCTATTGGAGGTAAGCTGCTAATACATAATGAAGTGTCTTGAAGATTTGTAATTTTTACCACATATTTTTGCTGTCCAAATATAGGAGTAAAAAGAAATAATAACACTTTAGTGTTGAAAGTAACTAGCCATGGAGTACTTCTGAGTTGGGAGAAATCTAGTTAGCCTTTGGGGCTTTAGATACATACTATAAGCATCATGACGGGAAATGGAGTACACTTCACCTGACATGTAGATAATGTGCTGTTTTACCACAATCACTGCATTTACAATGCAAAGAAGTTGATTTTAGCTCTGTTTTGACACATTGTATATAATGAAGGACCCCCTTGACACAGTTATTTGTAAAAACAAAACACAGATTCTTTACAAATTGTGGATGCATCTTGAACTATAAGATCATTTCTAGACTAACCTAGACTTTCTACCATTTTCTGTTTTTGGAAGTTACCAAATTATTTTTGGATAGCAATGGTTTTGCTTATAAAAACTGTAAGGATGCTTCTGAGCTTTCCACTGTGTGGGACTTTCCTAAGTGTTAATAAACACTGCATATTTGGAAATTCTTAAACCTTCAAGGTTCTAGCTCTTTCTATTGCCAGTCAATTGTTCACGCTAATTCTCTCAGGTTTCCAAAGCATATGCATAATTTAATGGCTTTCTAAGTAGCCATTTTAGCCATTATTTCTAAGTAATAATTTCTAGGTTCCATATTGTTTCTATTTTTTTGTACATGATATTTCTGTCATTTCAGGAAGAACAAACATTACCATTTTCTACATGAGAAAACGGACACAAAGATGTAGACCAATTACTTGGGTCCTTAATGACTCAGTGGCTTGTAGAACAGTCATGTAACTCTCAAATCAGGTTCTCCATCAGTATAGCCTACCTTTTAAACCAGTGCAGTCCTTAAAATAAAGTGAAACTCACAAGCTGAACCCATAAGATACAAAAAGTCCAGTCAGATAAGGACCATTTCATGCTTAATTTCTGGTTTCAGATAACTCAGGCTTTTAAATTCCTGGCAAATTAACTCATTATTACCTATCATGTAACTTATCAGAATGGCCACTATTTCACAACCTGCATTCATGGACCTCCCCACCTATCAAAGAAGGCGGATTAAACATTTGAAAGTCTCTTTCCTCCTAGATGGGAGAGGTCCATGTCTTTTTACCCTGAGTAGATGACTCTTTGTCATATTAGCAAACTTCTGTTCATTCCCATACCACAGATTTTCACTTCCTGATGAGGTTTCCTCTTGAAGAGTCAGCTAGATCCTTATAAAGGCAGGACATGTCTGATATAAATCATTTGATCTGTGTATCTTAAATCTGGTATCCTTTGGAATTTGTAGTAGAAATCTCTACTTGTCTGCTGGAAGTAGGTGCTGTGGAAGCAGCTTAGTAGACAAGGATAAACAGGTTTTTGTCTAGCTGGATTCCTGGCATCCTGAATATGCTGATACAAGGGATGAATTTCTAAGGGACAAATACACACAGAATTTCTAAAATGTGTTTGATCATAGGAGCCTTTTTGAATGAAGCTCATTAAGAAATTAGAGATCTAGCTGGGTGCCAGTGACTCAAACCTGTAATCCTATCTACTCAGGAGGCAGAGATCAGGAGGATAGAGGCCAGCCCAGGCAAATAGCTTGTTAGACCCTATCTTGAAAATACCTAACACAAAAAATGGCTGGTGAAGTGCTTCATGTGGTAGAATACCTGAGTAGCAAGGGTGAGACCTGAGTTCAAACTCTAGTCCCAACAAAAAGAAAGAAATTAGAGGTCTATATTTGGACTTTTAGCTTTTTCTATTTATTAGATTCCTTAATCTTTTTTGTCTGAGTCTTACTTTTATGAAGTTGAATTTCCCTTGTTGATTGGGATGTAGAAATTAAATTAGATATTGCATATAAAGGGCATAGAGTCAGGCCTTGATAAAGGTTGTCTGTCTTTAATTTGGGAAAGTGATGGTGGTGTAATGAGATAAAGATGAACAGAAAGAAACAAGTGGAACAATTTTTTAATGGTTTCAGTGATTTTTTCTAGTTTAGTGATTTTTTTTAAGGCATTATTGTCAGATGGCTTTACTGTCTCCAAAGATGGCTTCACATTTTCCCAAATACTCATGAAAGCTAATGAAAACTTCAGAACATCACCATATAGAGACACTATATATTCTTTTTAATGGCGACGAATGAGTTTATGTTTTTGGAAGTTCCCACCTAGAAATACAGTTATTGGTTAACCCTTGGTGTTATCATTTGCTTAGTTATGGAAACAATGGTTGGGTTAGATTAACCCTTTGTTATTTTGTTAGTGGTAAAGTTTTGACTTTATTTTGAGATGAGTGCCAATCAATTATTTCCAGGAAAACAACTTGATGAGTGATTTTAGACATATTTTCTTCACAGTATTATAAAACCTGGAAATGTCACATCTTTAGGTTGAATTTTGTTCCATATGAATTCTGTTTATTATTTGGAAAGGAAATGACAAGTGAGTTTATGATTATACAAGACAAGGACCTAATAGAGAAGTTTATGTCATATGGAAAGGTGCTAACTTACCACTAACTTGAACTGATGAGACATTTATTGGCAAGGCTCTTGTTTTCCTTATCTTCTGATTTAATATGCTGTGAATTTTCTTCTCTCTTACAGTCCTTTGCCCAGTAGAGGGAAACTGGAACACCATAACAATATCTGCTTTTACTCCATCTTCCTCTGGACTATGAAACATAAGGGAAAGGTACACATTCAAAGAATGGACTGGTATTGTCCTACACTCTCTCCTGTATTTTCTTCCCTGATTTGTGCCTCAATTGTTGAGTGTTAAGGGTTAATTATCTCACATTTGTACTCTTCTATATGTCACTCGCTGACCTAAGGCTATTTCACATGTGCAGTATTCTAGCTTTTATTATATTTTGAGTGAATTTTTTGTATTAATTTGAAGGCTTATTGTAGCAGGTAAGACTCAATCATAAGTCATTTTGACAAGAAGTCATTGTCAAAAGTGATGTAAGAAACCATCATGTTCTCTTAAGAACAATAAATCATACATCTGATAAGAATCACTGCTACAGCATCCAAGACAAGTGGTCTCCAACCCCAGTGCAGTCGATCATTTCAATGATGAGGTATTGGCTTCTATAAAGAGGCTGGCTTTTCTTTGATCTGCTCTGATTTTAAGAGCTCTTTATTTTGAGTTGAAATATGTCTTCTTTTATTTTCCATTCCATAAGGTCCACCAATTGGAACATACATAAAACATCAATTTCCTCTTCCACACATTATTTGAATACAATAATGTATGGTCTCTGAGTCTTACCCAGGTAAAACATGCCCAGCTCCCTGAATTCTTTTTTCTTCTTTTTACCAAAACTGGTTCAATTTCCTTCATCCATGACACTGAATTTTTGTAATAGGGAAATCTAACAATTGAAAGTGTTTCAAAATTGAAATTATTATGTATTTATCTGCCATGTATCCTATTTTATACTGCAAATGACCTAAGTTCTCAAAATTATTAGACGCTGTCTTTCTGAAACTTTTCCCTAAAAAAGAGGAAATTATGCCAATTGTATATACTTTATGTACTATGTTCCTTTTAAGCTCTGGAATAAGAAGGTACAAATAATTAGAATTTTATGTCAAATAGGAACCCAAGCAATTTTCTACTAACATCGACTACTAGGTAGAATTTCTCTTGGCTTCCACAAAAAATTATACATTGTTAATATCCACAAATTTAAAGGAATTCATAAGATTTTGATAATGTTGCTAGGATACTATGGCAAATCAGAATTTGAAGTAGGGGGAATAAAATCTAGAAAGTTCCAGCACTTATATGCTTTTTATTTTCTAAATTATTCAATTCATATTACAAAATGCCCCTGGAAATCATCAATTATAGATGTAAAGAATGTACATCTGAATAAGGCTGCCAATAAAGCATTAGTTTATTGGTAAGAAGAGCAATTATTATTTCCTACATATAAATTCAAGTATGAATATATTCTCTTTTTTTTTCTTTAAGAAGATGAGTTATATAAGCTCATAGGCTTGTGCCTGTGTGTTCTGTTGCATGACTTTCAAAACAATATAATTGAAATCTGTGAGCAATTTCTGCAGCTGATATGAATCTTCTTCCTCCACCAAAACAAAAAAAGAACATTTATTATAACTGTCTTTTTGCTTGGGCATGCCTCCTGTCACTAGGGCTTAATTACAGGTAAAGCTTACAATTCCATTTTGTAGTTAACTTTTCTTTCTTAATGTTTATGAAGTGACACAACTATCAAAGCATAGAGCTTGGTGCATGCAATGACACGCATCTGGGTTTCTGAAGGCTATGGGTTTAGGAAGATCCCTGCCTTGCAATCAGTTGACAGAGTTTGTGTCTTGGGTGTGTCACTTGGTGGGGTAACTCTCTTGGAATTACTTACTTACCCTCCTTCCCAAATCTTAGTTTTTTAGTTTCAAAATGATGATCAGCCCCTTTGCTTGAGATTGTTGTAGAGATAGTATTTATTAAAAAATCCTCCTAAAAGCTTATTCTAGAAAGACATACAATATCTGAGGGACTCTGTATCCTTTCCCCTTGTCCCTCCAGGCTTGTGACTATAACTTTGCCCCAAAATACATACGTCAGTCTGACTATTTGGTTCTTGATATAGTACTTGCTCAAGGCTGAATTTATGAATATTTCATCCACCTGTTATTACAAGAGAGAAATAGTATGTTAATACAATGTTTTATAATAAGCCTATACCCTGGATTAAATGTTAAAATAATGAGAAAAAATTTCATAGGAGTAATATCTTATTCAAATCAGTGTTTCTCAACCTTTACAGTGCAACAGAATTATTTGCTGACAGAAACAAACTACAGAATTTTGGTTTCAATTGGTCTGGTGGAGACTTGCCCCACTCCCATGAATAGAATCTCCTCAGGTAATTCTGATGTCTAGTATGAGTGTTTGGAGCAGAAGATATTATCCTAGAACTTTATAAAAGGAGTCATAGAACAGAGATGGGACTCAGAAAAGGCTTTGGGAATTGGTGGAGAGAAACTTGGCATCATTTTGGGTTGAGACAATTCTGCTGCATACCAACTAGCAATCTTACAAAACTTACTGAACCAATTTCAGATTCTGTCTCCTAACTTAAAAGGCAAAGATATTGACATGTTACTCATAAGACTAGAAAGATCAAACACATGTAAAGTTCTGGTAATGCCTTGGTAGGTAAGGTGGTCTGCTAGCCCCCATGTTGGCATGGTAGATCTTAGCTGCCTCTGCAGGTCTTTGGTTGTGAAGTATATGAGGAGCCATTAGGGATTTAAGAGAGAGAGCCTAAGATTTTTTGAATTGTTCCTGATTGTGGACTGTAAGGCAAATCAGAAAGAAAGAGAGTAAGGTTGTATTTAAATTTCAGGTTGAAATTGTGTCAAAAGGAAGAAGAAAGGACTGTTGTTGGTACATATGCACAGTTTTCATTGCCTGCTACAGAATGATGGTGCCGTGGTCTGTCACACCTAGTGTTTGGTTTATAGTGACCCTAGTAGCCACTCGCTGACAACAGTGTCAACTGAATGCAGGTACTGCAGTTTATGTTGGACAATAAGTAGATGAGCCAAATGTGGAAAAAATTATCCTAAATCCTGAAAAAAAGGGTGGGAAAACCAACTCTTATTTTGGAAAACACAATAAAATGAAAACAAAAGAAAGCTATTTTGGAAATCAAGGAACAAGTTACAACTTCTATTGCACTATCAGGATTAGATGCTTCATTAGGAGCCAAAAAATTCATTTTCTTGTTTAACCCTTAAAATTACTCTGAGAAATAAAAATTATTTTGAAGACAAAACTGTGACTCAGAGGCATTGAGTGATTTTTTTTTCCCTCTGACTTCATATGTATAATGATAAGCTGACACTTAAACCTAGGTCTTCTATGTGGAGGTTCCGTATCTCTTTCCACTCAATTATACAGCTTCCTTGTCAAATGAGATGCAATTTTTATATCAATTTCTTTTTTAGAAAGCAGCAATAAATTTTCACATAAATAGTTGCTTGACCTAAGGATAATATAGTACAATACCTGCAAAGATATATATTTGGTAATAACTTTAAACACAAGATAAAAAAAGTTAGTGTCCAAAATATGCCTTATTCATACTTAAGTAAGGAAAGCCTAAGTTTGGTACCTTGGGTTTTACATAATAGAAATGAAACTCTTTTGCAATATGTGTTTTTCTAATAATGACATTGATGTAATCATTTCTTGTCACCCATAGCCAGTACTATTACTCAGTATTTGGGAAGGAAGTCCCAAAAGGAAGTAAAAGACAAACAAAAAGTGATAAGTCATAAAAGGAAGAAAAGTAGATAGCAGTTGGAAAAATAAAGTTTAGAAAAGGAAGTTTGGTTGTAATTATCCTTTGGATAAGTTCTACCCACAATTGGTTCTTGGTCATTTGTAACTTGCTGAAGGCAGTATATTAACTTTTGTGTGCATGATAGTTCCCATGTGGCAATGATTTTCTACTGAGAATGGCTAAACCAACCTCAATTTTCCATCTTTGAAAGATTAGGTGATCTGGGAAGACAGGTGCTAAAAGGATACCCTAAGAAGAATCTAGATAGAAGTATTTTATGTGCTAATAAAGAAGTTTTGTCTCAAATTCCAGGACCTTATCTCTAGAAAGTATCATTAATTAGGTCTAGAAAGAAGCCCAGGGATCTTCAGGTGGTACAGGTAGCCTGCAGACAACACTTTGAGAAAGAAGGTGCAGGAACTGGTAAGAAGAGTTTTTGTACTAATGAATTTACATAAGGGTGAAAAACATGAAAATAAACTTTATTGTTGAGTGGAGTTTTTGTATAAATTAGCCTAATAGATACCCTGAAATTATGTTTCCTTGGAATATTAGAAATTACACCATCAGAAACATTCTTTTTGCCAACATACCATTCCAAAATTCCCAGAAGTTTTGGAGGATGCTTTTTCCCCAAAAGCTGTGAACAAGTTTAATATTATTTACTTAACTTAACAACATAATAGAGTGAGTGACTTACAACTCTATCCAACCTCTCATTTTGAGGCATTTTTAGCTGGAGTTAAGTTTCCTAACATTTTGTTCAAAAAGACCCCTTTTTAAGGTAGTACCTCTTTCTGCTTGCTGATTTTGGAATGCTGGAAATTGATTGAGATTAAGTTCTAAGAGGGCAATTGAAGGTTAGTTGGGTGTTTAATGTAAGAGTTAGGGAGAGGCTGACAACTCAAACAAACAGATACGCCCAGACATTCAACTCTCATTCCCAAACTAGCTGTTCACACATGGCATTGCCTTTTTTTTTTTTGGCAGATGCTTCTGTCACAGCAGTGTATCTCTTCACATAGAGACTACAAACTTCATATCCATATGCTACTGAAGATTGGGAAATGTAATATTCAAGCTCTTGCTTCTAACATAACCGGAGATGAGCTCCTGAGAACTGAAGAAACTGAAAACATGCCATAAAAAAACTTTAGATCTTGTCGCTTTCTTCTAATTTATAAGGGTACCACATACAGGATAGTAAAAGAGACACTTTAAAAAGACACCTTTAAACTTAAGTAAGGTTTAATTGAATTTACAGTTGTTACAAGGGATGAACTTAACGTAGAAATAGAAAATAGGGGGTGGTGGAGTGCCTCAAGCGTATGCACCTGCCTAGCAATTATGAGGCCCTAAGTTCAAATTCCAGTCAGTACAGCTAACAACAACAACAAAAAGAAATAGAAAATAGATTGCAGTTGCATTTGTGCCTTTGTTCACACCATCAGACATTCAAGGACCTCACTATGTGTTATCAGCCTACTTGCTCAGTTTTCTACATGCCAGAATCTTATACTGGGATGGCCCTCATTTCCTGCATACTTGGCCTTTGGTCTACAGCAGACTCCCCTTTTCTGCTATCTCTGCCTTTCTGAATCACAATTCTACTTCAAGATCTGTCTCAGATAGTAGCTTCTTTGGGGTTAGTCCTTCATCCACAAACTAAACTCTTTTCTTACTGTCTCAGCTTTTCTTATCTCTTTCATACTTTCTACTCCTTAGCATAGTTATTTATGTAATATTATTTCCTCTGCTACACTGCAAAGCATTATGCATAGAAAGAGTGATTCGTGTTTTTATATTCTGCAGTATCCAGCATAGTGCTTTGCATATGATAGATATGCAGCATGTTTTTCTTGAGTGAATGAATGAATAAAAGAAAGTAAAAACTTATGTATTAAAAGACTTGCAATTACCAGGAAACTTTTAAGAGGTCTTTAAATGTACTTTATACATCAGACTGAAATCAGTGTTCCTAGAGAAAAAGAAAATTACTTAAAGGGAATTTTTCTCCTTGTGGACATTTCCCAGTCATTTGTTTCCTCGTGGAAAGCCTTTCCTTCTTGAGACAGCAGACATAGAAGCTGGAATGATTTCACTGTGGTCCTCCAACTGTGCACCAAGTACAAATTCCCCTGTAGTTGAGGTCATTTGGTTTTCATCAGTCATCTGAGGTGAATACTGTTATTATCTGCATTGTATGGATGAGGAAGTGACTTGCCCAAGTTGACACAGCAGTGAGCACAGAGTCAGGATTAAGCCAAGGCCATCCAGCCTCGGAGCCTGTTAACGCTCTAACAGTGCTTACCTCAGGGCAAACACACAGGTAGGTCCTCACCAAGAGTTGCTACCCACTATTGGGCAGTAAGTGTTGCTTAAGTGGCCAGAATATGCAAAGGTGCTTCAAAAATAAGGAACATAATCTTAGTAGCTTTTACTGCAGCCCATTGAAGTGATTATTGTGTCTGCTTAAATCTCCAGGATTTCTTTTTTTTTTTAATTGAAAAAGTAGGCTGTAAATCATTCTTTCCAGCCCAAATGGAGCATGGCTAGCTTGAGCACTGAATAATGCTCACAGAATTTTAAGGCTTGTTGGTCTTCTGGGGTCAAGTCTACCTCCCACTGCTTTGAGCCCAGTGATGTGTCTGCTGGAGAAAGGTGTTGGATTCTGTGTCATCTGATGTCTGTAGGTGTGTGGGTGGAGTATATGGAAGTGTGACTATTTGCCTACCCTAAACCAGGAGTTAAGTGAGATCACCAATGTGGGGTGTAATATTTTGTAATGTTATCAGTCATTTTTTTGATTGCACCAGTCCCTCTCCAGTGTCCCTTTGTGAAATATTAGAATGAACAGATAGACATCTCTGATTAAGTAGCCACATATAGTCAGTTGCAATATACTGGATAAACATACCTCAAGTTGGTTAATATTCCAATTGGGAGGTAAGGTAACTTTTTAAAATAAAAAATTTGCAATTAAAGATTATAAAAGAGAAAACATTAATTCTCACTCAACCATAAAACCTAGATCTGCAAATTACCTTTTTAAAGGGAAAAATATCTAATTTATTTATTTATATCTATTCTTTTTAAAAATTATAATAGTTGTACAGGGATACATTGTGCACTTACATATGTGCTTACAATATAGCTTAGATTTGCCCCCTCCATTATTCTCTGTCTTCCTCCCTCCCCCACTTAGAATAAAATCAACAGTTTTCATTTTTCTATTTTTATATATGGATACAAAATACATCCACCATAATTCACCCTTCAGATATCTAATTTAGATCTACTTAAAATTGTACAAAAGTTATTTGAAACCAGAATGCCC